TAAGATGGAGGGCTATACAATTCAATAAGTAACAAAGTTGGAAATCAACCAATCAGATCCTAAGTATTTATGAAAATAATCCTAAAATATATTAGTTTAATGGAAAACTGAAATTTCAAAAAGACCAATGTCACTACAATAGATGAAGGAGAGAAGAAAAGGAGGACTGGGATATAATCAGAAACTCTGAGGTTTGCTCTGGCTATGATGAGGAGCTATGAGAAGTTTCTGAGCCCACATGATTTACACATTAATTGGATGGCTTACACTCTAGGAGATCCATCAGCAAATCCCAGCAGCTCTGCCTTAAAAACATATCCCTGGAGAAGCAGCCATACATCCCTGGACATCACCACTTCCATTGCTACTCCCCTGCTCCACCAGCGCTTATGATCTTTGCCTGGGTTATTACAATACTTGTTTATCAGGTTCCCTGTGTTCACTCAATTAAATATGTGAATTTAGTGCCAAAGGCAGGTCTAAGGAGAGTAGACAGAGAAGAAAAGAGGTTACTGGAGCATTCAAAAACATAAAGGCTAAGCAGGAGAAACTATGAACGGTCAATGGAGCAGGAGGAAAACCAAGAACACTCTGGTATCCAGAAAGCTAAGCGAAGAATACTTACTAAATGCATGGTGAAATGAACCTTTTATAATATAATGGCCCCCTATATCCCTAATTAAGCTTTAAAAAAATGTTTTAAAGACTTTTTTCATCCAGAGTAAGTATCTCTTATGAAACAAAAAAAATAGACTTTTTTCATAGGATATTAATAGGGCAGGATATTAATACCAGTCTTTTCTCTCCCAGGTTATCATTTGCCTGGTATACTTTGTTCCTTTTCTATACTTATGTTTTACATGTGAAAGTTCTTCAAATTAAAAATCAGTTCTAGGCCGGGCGTGGTGGCTCACGCCTGTAATCCTAGCACTTTGGGAGGCCTGTCTTGTTCTCTAGTACAATATTTTACTAAAACCTGCCAAAGTGTCCACTTAAGTTTATTAACTCTGGGATTTTGTTAATCCTGTATTTGAGGGCTCATGTCATTCATTGATTCTACAATATTCTCAACCATAATCTCTTGGGATTATTTTCTTTTCCCCATTTTCATTTTCATCTGGAGTTTCTATTAGAAATGAGTTGACCTTTTCATTCATCATGTTACATACACTTGCTTTCAATTTTCTATCTGTTCATCTCTCTAAGCTATGTTTTAGGCAATTTTCTCCAATCCACCTTCTTGTTTAATAATTTTTCAGTTATGTCTAATCTACTATTTTACCTATCCTATGATTTCTAGAACTTCTATTTCTAGAACTTCTAGATATATACACATCTGCTTGGTTACTCTTGATATTCTCCTGTTTCCTGCTCACACTTTAAATTCCTCCCTTTTTAAACATACAGAACAATCAGTATTTGCCCTCATATTCTTTAAAGTACCATACGTCAGTTGTATTTCCATCACATTTTCTGTCATCACCTCCACTTACTATCCATACAACTTTCACTAATCTTAAAAGCCTGGCTATATTCTCCGAGTTTTTATGACATTATTCCTATATGATAGGCATGCTGACTTTAAAAACCAGTACCATGTAGTCAGACAGCTAAAGTCAAATAAAAATAGTGTCATAAATTATTTATGTGGGCTGGGCATGGTGGCTCACAGCTGTAATCCTAGCACTCTGGGAGGCCGAGGCAAGCGGATGCATGAGGTCAGGAGTTCGAGACACACCTGAGCAAGAGAGAGACCACATCTCTACTAAAAAATAAAAAAAATTAGCCAGGCATGGTGGCGAACGCTTGTAGTCCCAGCTACTTGGGAGGCTGAGGCAGGAGGATCACTTGAGCCCATGAGTTTGAGGTTGCTGTGAGCCAGGCTGATGCCACGGCACTCTAACCCTAGCAACAGAATGAGACCCTGTCTCAAACCGAAACAAAAAAACAAATCATTTATGTGACTGAAAGTTTATTAATTTTGCTACGCCTCTGTTTTCACCTGTGAAACACAGACTATAACAGTCTCTAACTCATAAGGTTTGGAAAGAGTTAAATGAAACCTATATTTGCAAGTCTCTCTTATAAATAGCTTATAGCTAGCATAAAGTCTGGCTTTTAGCAGCAACTCATGAGGATAATACATCTGTGTCATCAGCAGCATCTTGACTCTTCTTCAAGCAAGGTCAGTTTATGAGAAGGTCTATCTAACTCAGCCTTAATTTTTTTTACTTTTGAAGATATAGGTATTATATAAAATAATACCTATTCAACTTTTCTTGAAATATAGCAAAATAAATTGGCTTAAAAGAACAAAAACAAAACTAATATACTCAGAGATTTACATTTAATAAATATTTTATTGAGCACTAAGAATATCATTATCATGACATTTATTGCTGGCATGTCTATATAAACTGAGAAGATACAAGAATTGTGTTAAATATTAGCCAAGTGTGGTAGCACACACCTGTAGTCCCAGCTACTCAGAAGGCTGAGGCAGGGGATACTTGAGCTCAGGAGTTTGAGGTTACAGTGAGCTAAGCTATAATCATGCCACTGCACGCTAGCCTGGGAAACAAGAGTGAGACCCTGTCTTTAACTACTTTGGTACCAGTGTCGACTATAGTCAATAGCCCAGATGAACGCACACAACGACTTTAGCCAACAGGCATGATATGACTTTTCTAATTTTTCATTTATCAAAATAAAATTGTGAACATTTAAAAATAACGTAATGGAAACATATATGTATGTGTTACCTATTCTGATTTACATTACAAGTAAAGCTGCCTGTAAAGTAAAACAAGCTTTCAGTGCTTTAAAGCTTTCCTCATCACAAAGGAGCAAAACAGATTCGTTGTCAATGTACAGCACAAACTATTGTGTGGACTGTGAGTGCCGGCTGTGGGCAAGGTTTCGCGGCCAGTGAGCTCAGTACTGAAGTGGTTTAAAAAAAAAAGAATTATATTAAATAAAAATTCTTGCAGGTATTTTTATCTAAATTTTAGATTTTTTTTTTTTTTTGAGACAGAGTCTCACTCTGCTGTCCCTCAAGTGCTGTAGCATCAACCTACCTCACAGCAACCTCAAACTCCTGGGCTCAAGCGAACCTCCTGCCTCAGCCTCTCAAGTAGCTGAGACTACTATAGGCACACCACACCTGGCTAATTTTGTCTATTTTTAGTAGAGATTGGGTCTCGCTCTTGCTCAGGCTGGTCTCAAACTCCTGAGCTCAAGCTATCATCCCGTCTTAGCCTCCCAGAATGCTAGAATTATAGGCATGAGCCACTGTACCCAGACTCTAACGTTTACATATTCTTACATTTTAAATACTTAACTAACTATGGATCCTCTCTAGCCATTGGTATAAACCAACCAAACTGAATTCTCAAAGAATATTTTGTTAGCTTGGTTCTATCTATCTGATAAATTTGAAAATGCAACTATATTTCTTCAATGAACTCTGTAAATCAGACATTTTGTTCAATTTAGGATTTGTTTACCTAAACATGTTGGTTTTACTTTAAAAATGTCTATCCTCATCAATCTAGAGTCTTGAAATATAAGTTACTGACAATCTGAATGTACTCTTCAATCTATAATTATCTTTATTCCTGCAGCATTTTCTATAAAAATAAGAACACCAGTGGAGGAAGCCTATTTTTACAAGTTACCCCATTCTCAAAAGTATTTTAGATGTACGGCTTTCTACTTACATCTTGATTTATTTAATAATGAAAAAAATTATTAGGGAGAAAACCAGGAGGAAAGGACACTTACAGGGAATTTTTTCTTTTTTATTGTAGACAGGGTCCCATTTTCTTGCCTGGGCTGGAGTGCAGGTAGTGTGTTATAAGTCACTGCAGCTCAAACTCCTGGGCTCAAGTGATGTTCCTGACTCAGTCTCTTAAACAGGTGGGATTATAGGTATGTGCCACCACACTCAGCTGATTTTTAAAATTTTTGTAGAGACAGGGGTCGTGCTATATTGCCTGGGCTGATCTCCAATTCCTGGCTCAAGCTCTCCTCCTGCCTCACTCCCAAATGCTGGGATTATAGATGTGAGCCATTATGCGCAGCCAACAATTATAAGGAATTCTTTTTTTTTTTGGACAGAGTCTTGCTTTGTTGTCCAGGCTAGAGTGAGTGCCGTGGCGTCAGCCTAGCTCACAGCAACCTCAAACTCCTGGGCTCGAGCGATCCTTCTGCCTCAGCCTCCCGAGTAGCTGGGACTACAGGCATGAGCCACCATGCCCGGCTAATTTTATATATATATATATATCAGTTGGCCAATTAATTTCTTTCTATTTATAGTAGAGACGGGGTCTCGCTCTTGCTCAGGCTGGTTTTTGAACTCCTGACCTTGAGCAATCCGCCGGGCTTAGGCCTCCCAAGAGCTAGGATTACAGGCGTGAGCCACTGCGCCCGGCCTAAGGAATTCTTTTAATTCACCTTGAAATAATTTCAGTTTCCCTAATGTTTCAGTAGGAGTTACTAAGAGATCACTTCCTAATAATTTTAATATTGCATTTGAATATCATATATATACCCACTCTTTGTAGGTGAATTCTAGATTATTGGGCACAATAAAACAAGTCATGTAACCCACTTATATGGTAATTAGGTGTGGTCTCCTCATAGACACATCAGGTCCTGCTACATTAAAGGAGGACAAAAGATGAGAAAGTAAAAAGATTTGGGGCTTGAGTTCTATTTAGAGCAAACATTGAAACAAAACCACACTGATGAGAAATGTAACTAGCAAAAGACCATTATAGTCGACTGAAATCAGATGGCTCAAGGAATGTAAAGTTAATCATCCCCAAAAGCCAGACTAAAGGGAAGTCTGGAAGAGATGACTGGTTAATAATTACTAACCAATTATACAGGAGTTGTAATGACAAGCGGTGTGAAAAGCATACACATTCATTCTCTTATGTTTTTAATACATGTAACAAATCAAGTGTGCATCACACCAAAGTAGGTTTGCATCTTACTTCCACTCTTCTGGTGGGTGGGCAAGCTCATACTTCTCCCTCACACTGGAGACGCCCATATCCACGTGAAGCCAGTGAACCTCCTCTGACCGCAGATGACTGAGGCGGAATCCGTAGCAGGCCACATGCTTCACTTTGTGACTGTCCACTATCTTCTGAATGATGCCCTAAAACATACCCCCCACAAAAATGACTGTTATAAACTGGGAAAAAAAAAACCCTATATGCTAAAAACTAATGCAGTGTTCATTTCTTTGAGTACATTATCAGAAATCTTTGGTAAAAGTAGCAAATTAAATAAATTACTTAGGAATCTTTGTTTCTCAAACAGTAGTTTTATGAACAAGGAAAAGTTCTGAAAAATACAAAATATACTCTTCTCCCTTTAATAATAAACAAGGCATGTAAACTTAAAAATGCATTTCTGCAACTCTACCATTATCACTGCCCAAACCTGTCAAAGTGTGCCAGCTACCCTTCAGTTACTGCTATCTAAGGACTAGACCCAAGGAAGGGATTATACTTTCTGATCCAAGGAGATCATATTCTTCAAGATCAGGCTGTAACATTAATATCAATTTTTAAAAAACACATTCAGGAACTTACAATTAAGACTATGTTCTCTTGATGTTGAAGATATATATGAAAAGTTCTTTGAATTTGGACCTAATCAGTTTGTTACTTGTTCTCTATAAATTAATATGTAGCAATCTAAAATACTTCCCCAAATCTAATGCTTTAGTTCAGAGAAGAAGGTAACCTTTGAATGAAGTCATCAGAGAAGGTTCCTTAAGAAGATAAAATTTCTCCTGGGCTGTGGACAGATAAGCATTAGAACAAACTCTTCCCTTTACCTGCCTAGGTATGAAGGCTGGGTAAAAGTATGTTTGCAAACAGGTAGCATGTACAGAAGACTCACTTGAGAATGTGATGGAACGCCTGCTGCTCTTTACATTAGGTTATACAAATCACAACCACCCTAATCTTCTTAATCTTTTAGGTGATTAAGAAAAGTTTTTTTAAATGATGCTGACATTAAAATGAAAATGTCTATGAAAGAAAATCATCACTGGTTTTTAAGAGTTAGTAATTAATTAAAGCTATAATATAACTTATAATGTAAGAACATCTTAAGAGTTCCTGCACTGGCCGGATGCAGTGGCTCATGCCTGTAATCCTAGCACTTTGGAAGGCTGAGGCCAGAGGACTGCTTGAGCATAGGAATTTGAGGCTGCAGTGAGCTATGATTGTGTCACTGCACTCTAGCCTGGGCAACAGAGCAAGACCCTGTCTAAAAGAGAAGTTCTGGCACTAACCAAATATTTCTTTATTATGGCACAATGCTGTTGATAATATGATAAAGGATATTCCCAGACCTTTCCACAAGATAAATTATAACACGTACCATATATAAAAAGTGTCAGAAACCCATTATGTGCACACTAAGGACATGTGCTGCTGTGTTGTGCTTGTGGTACCAGTACTTTATGGGGCAGATCTCCCAGGGCACTGAGTGGTTGAAGTGGTACCATCACACTCCCTTTAAGAGGACTCAATTCCAGGTACAAAGCTGTATATCAACCAAGGGAAGTGGCAGAGAGGAGAACAGAGGGAGGGACAGAAGAAGGTAGTAAACATGGATTCAGAGGGAAAGTACGAGCAAAGGATCAGGCTTGGCAGAGTCAAAGACAGCTTGGAAAGAAGATGAATTCGCATCAGGACAGGACGGATCTTTGCAGCTTATAGACTTCTATGCAGAAATGAGACATACATACAATGTCCTCTCTGGCTTTTTTGATCCAAGACCTAGAATTCCTGACAGAACCACTGTAAATGACAATACCCTACACAAGAGTATCCAGATGGAGCCAAATCCAGCCCAAGTTCCAGTCTCCTAATATTGTGTTCTGGGGTGGGGGATTTGTCTAGAAGAAAGAGTATCTTTTAATAATTCTCTAAAAGGCGATTTCTGCAGTTTCTCCTTGCCCACACAAATCCCTGAGCAACAAAGGACAGGAGCTGGCATCTCTATGAAACTCCCACAAAAGTACCTTTGTTTCCCTGTTCTAGCTCTGCCAGTTCAATATCCAGTGCACACCAACACTAGTTATTCTTGGTAAAGAATAGGCTGACTATATCTCCTTATCCATAGCTCATTGCTACAACTGACTGAAGAGCAAACTCTCTCCTGTCAGAGCTGTAATCCATGTCTACAGCCATGTCTAATCATCTGTCTCTATTCATGCGATCTATCCTTCCATGTCCACATGCCGAGTGTAAGGTAGTACAGGGCACAAATCATTTCTTACACTTGTATTAGTCGCTATTCGCACTCTAGGAGAAATCCCACCTTCTCTGGGTACCTTCCCTGATGACCCCATGAAAAGGTCACCTTCATCTCCTCCGAACCCACAGGGAACATAGAGGAGAACCCTGGCAGCAAACCTGCCTCAATTAGACAGGCTTAGCCTAGAACTATGGTGTTTATTAGGGGAAAAGTAGGTTTCTAGTCTTGGAGTTTTAGGGAATACATAGAATTTTAGTCCATTCACCCCATCACACTCCCTGAAGAGACCCAGGATGATTTCAAGTCTGGGTTTGATAACAAAGCGCTCCCATATATTAGTACCTTATGACTAAACCAGGTTTCAACTTTCCCTCCCCACTAAACAATGAAAAACAATAAAAACATAGAAATTTCCTTTTCTTATATAGGTCATTAAGTATGAAATGTCCAATTTCCTTTAATACTAAGTTTGACAGTTGATATCTCTGACATTTCACTCTGACACTACTTGTTTTATTTTCTATTGTGAAGGTATATCCTCTGTCTTTCAAACACATGTTTTGGCTTCTGATTACCTTTCACATTTTTTTAGAGCAATTTTTGTGAAACCATTCACAAAATTCGTGTTATTTTTGAATATCAGTTCCATCATAGAACCAGTGCAATGCAAACAGCTTGAAATATCATTGAAGTATTTGGGAAGGATGTGGCTAATGAACACACAATATATTGATGGTTTGAGAAGTTCCATTCAGGCGATTTTAATTTTGAAAGTGAGCCAGGTGGGTGACCTGAGTCCAAGATGGATAACGATGAGCTGAAGCTGTAGTGGAAGCAAATACATTGCAACCTGTGTATGAATTAGCAGCAAGGTTTCATTTTACTATTCCAACAATACTGGACTATTTGAAACAAATCAGCAAGGTAGAGAAGCTGGACAGATGGGTTCCACATAAATTAAAAGAGCATCAGAGAGAAATAGTCTTGAAGCTTGCCCTTCTTTGCTGTCATGATATAAATGCAAGCCATTTCTACAGTGTATCGTTACGTGTGATGAAAAATAAATTTTTTTTTGGCAATCACAAGCATTCACCACAATGGTCGGATAAAGATGAAGTGCCGAAAAAAAGTCCAAAACCGAATACTCATCAAAAAAAGCTAATGGTGTCTATTCAGTAGTCCAGCGCTGGTATTCTCCACTACAGCTTCATGAAACCTGGGGTCAACCGATGACAGAGGATGTCTATTGCAACCAACTGAACAAAATGATGAGGATGCTTGCAATTAAGAGCCAAGACAGGTCAGTAGAGACAGGCTAATCCTCCTATAAGACTACATGTTGAAAAAATAATGCTGCTCAAACTACAGAGGCTGGACTTGGAAACTCTCTGTCATCCACTGTATTCACCAGACCTTGCACCGACCGACTACCACTTCTCCCAGGCTTCAGACCTGGACTTCTTGCAAGGAAAAATACGTAATTCTCAACAAGCTGTGGAAATGCCTTTTGCGATTACATCACCACTTGCTCTCCAGGCTTCACTGCTGGCATAAACAAGCAACCGTTAAGATAGCAAAACTGTGTCAATATTTTAGGCACATACTTTGATTAATTGTACTGCTTCTTGTTTGAGATATAATAAACTAAACGTTTGGTTTGAAATCAGACATTTAATATTTAACGACCCCCCCCTCTTTTTTTTGCTTTTTCATTATGCTTCCATATTGAGTTCTATCCTATTTTTCAATCTCTAGCACCTTTATAAATTTCTCTGAGAGCATCAAACATGAATACACAAGATACTTAAATAATGTGGTGCTTAACACATATACTCAGTAACTTAAGTAATTTTGAGAACCAAATATTTGGTTCTGTTTAACTCAACAACTTGCAAACTATCAAATTGCATTTTGATAAATGCAATAAAACTGTATGTACCAAGTACACTTGACACACAATGTTAGTTAAATATTTAGTGAGGGATGCATATTCAACAAACACAATAATGCTACCCCATTTCCATATAAACATACACAAGTACATCTGTGTAGTACTTCTGGAATATATACATTTACATTAAAAGTGACGGTCTATAGGGAGATAACAGGCCTTGAGTTTATAATATGCCCCCCTAAAGGTAGCTGAATTAAATGTATATTTCTCTTTCTGGCTTTGATGACTCATGATAATCTGGTCCTGAAGAACACAAAACAGTATTTGGCTACTCTAAAACCTTTGCCTCTCCATTTATCTCATACCCCAGGTTTCAGAAATATACAATTTTCCTGACAAAATTCTCATAGTAGACATTCCTGGTAGAATAATTCTTTTAAGATTGAAAATAAAAGAAACCAATATTCACATCATGCTTATATTTTATCAGGAACATAGCAGTAAATATACATAGTCATTTTACCACCAACAAAGAGTAATTTTCTTGTTTTGGGGGAGAAAGGAAAGAGCAAATGCAAACAATACTGCCAATACTGCTTAGAACTTCCTTCTAGTTGTCACCCTACATATGTATGAGCACTGCACAGAAATAGACATGCTGGGTCAATATCTACTTAACTGAAACATTTTGATAAATGCAATAAAACTGTATGTACCAAGTACACTTGACACACAATGTTAGTTAATGTCATTCATCCACATTAATAATGAATAAAACTAATCTTAAATAATTATCAATTTGATGCCCCCCTCCAAACCCCAAGCATTTCAATGTTATGATAATTTACATTCCCAACTTTCCAATTTCCTAGTGAGATGAGGCTGTAATTTTGTTCATTTATAAAAGTTTTTATTTTATGATTTTGTTTGGTTCAATTTGGTCACTTATCTTTCAGATAGTACTTTGTACCCAAATGACCTTTACC